CATAGACGGTTCCCTGCAGTGGTTGCATCTTGACGTGGACTCGATACGTCCGGGAGGGATCAATCTCCCGCGCCAGCCGGAACGATTCCCAGCCGTGAGAGATGAAGACCGCACCTCGGGAATCGAGTGCGTCGGTGGCGTTCATGATAAACCCGGAGAGATGCATGAGGCTGTCGATCCAGAGGGGGTTGCAGAAGAAAGAGCCCGCATCTGTTCCGGAGTATAACTGGAGTGTGGCCACGGCTTCCAACTCCTCTGTGTTGATCAGGACTTCCTGCATGCCTTGGTACTTGCGGTCGTACTCGACTAGGGACGAAAAGAGTTTGTATGCCATCCCGCGGAGGATCCTGTGTGTCGTTCCTTCAGTGATCCCGCGGGAAAGGGAATCGATTCGGTTTCGGACCAGATATGACGATTGCGACCACTTGGCCAGCCAGGCGTTTGATTCCGCATACTGGATCGAGCACTTGGCATTGGGCTCGTCGTTACCCCGCTCTCGAGAATCGAGACCAAACTCCACAGTCCCTTTACCAGTCGCTAAATCGGCGACAGCCCTCATTCTCAGCAGCTTTCTCTCTTGAGGGAAAACCCTGGGAAGGGTGATGGGGTGTAAAATTTGCATGGGTCCAACGCTGATTCCTGATGAGGGACCCTCCACGGGGTAATTTTTTCGGATGTAATCAGCGATCGTTAAGGCGATATCTGCATAGACCGACTGGGACGAATTAGTTTGAGATTAAAAGTTTTGTTTGATGTCTGAGTCTTACCGCAGGACAGAGACCGGATCCGTTAATAACATGCCCGGTAATCATGGCATGCATCTTGGACTCTGCAAGATCTGTCTCGAAGACCAGAGTCACTTTCCTGTCCTCCACCTCTTGAGAAATAAGCTTTTGCACTGTTGTAGTGTTCGGACCCGCGGGCGAAAGAGCAGTCTGGGCACGCTCATTGCGTGCACCCTTGTATAACAGCCAATCGTTCCGATACGGGACCCAGTATTCTTTTTCGTCCCAGGCATATCTGGGGAGAGTAAGGAGGCGTTTGCCGGCCTCAAACTCTCGATGGTACTCTTGCCAATTGATGTCGTAACCCCAAGTATGCAAAGAAGCCAGCGACTTGCTAATCGCAGCCCAGTCATTTTCGCCTTCTCGGAGACTCGGCAAGAGACGCACCTGTGACCCGAGAGTGGCCTTGATCATGCCCATGCAGATGGGACGAGGTCCGATTTCGAGCCAGACGGTGTTCTCATCCACCAGGCCCGCTTGCTCGCATTGTAGAAGTGCGCCATAGAACCGGACGCATCGGCGCGTCTGATCTCGAAGATACGACGGACCGATGATACCCGCCTCATGGACCACCGTCTCGGTGGACGGAGACACCAGAGGAACCTTTGGTTTCTCGAAGTGAACCGCCGTCGCCATTTGCTCGAAGCGATCCAAGATCCGTTCCATCTGCGAAGAGTGATATGCGAACGGGATCGCAAGCAGCTGGCAATGGACACCCTGACTTCTGAGCTGCGTCATGGCTGCTTCGCAGAGTTCCCGCGGCCCGCTCAGGACAACATCCCGGGGCCCGTTGATGCAAGCAATCTCGAGTGCACTGTACTTCTCTCGCAGATGCTTGATTGTGTTTTCACCACCTTGTACGGCCAGCATGCCGGATGTCATCAACGGGCACGACGTCTCCAGCAGAGAGGCCCGCTGGCCGACAAGGTAGAGAGTATCGTTGGCTGACAGGACCCCAGCCGCGTAGAGGGCTGCGTATTCGCCAAGGCTGTGACCGATCACCAGGCTTGGACTTATATCGAGGGATTCGAAGAAGCGGAAGAGCGCCATTTCCACCGCAACAATGGCCAGCTGCTTTTGGACTTCTGTTACGGTCGAATCGGCGCCGCTACCATCCACGACGGGAAGAAAGGTCGCGAAGCAATGTTCTCTCGACACGCGGTCAAACCGGAGCAGATCTTGTCGAAATTGACTGCTGTGCTCGAAGAGATCCCGTGCCATCGGCATATAGAAAGATCCCTGGCCGGTGAAGCAAAAGGCGACCCGAGATAACTTCTTCGGCCAGGTGGGGTTGGGAGTCGAGAGGAACGCGGACAACTGTTCCGTCAGATGGGCGATGGAACTGGCAACGAACGCCTGCCGCAGGGGATGATGCATGCGGCGCGCCGTGGTAGTGTAGGACAAGTCGGATAGAGAGACGTCCGGCCACTCTGCGAGATAGGCCATCAAATTGCGAGCGTTGTTCAGGACCGACGTGACTGATTTCCCAGAGATAGTAACGACATGGTGAGATCGCCGATCCAGTCGGCTACTGTCGATCGATCGCTCCGGCGGCTCCTCCAAAATACAGGCCGTGTTACCACCTGCGGCACTAAAGTTGTTGAGTAGGATGCGCCGCTTGGATCCTTGTCCGCGCTTCGAAGGCAGCGGCGTCTGGTGGAAGGGAATGTGCACATTTCGCTTTTGCAGATCAGGCAACTTGGGGTTGATTGCGGTCTTGATGCCGACATGTGGAGGTAATTGTTGCTTGCGAAGGACCAACAGGGTCTTCATGAGCCCTGTTATGCCGGAAGCCGATTCTCCATGACCGACATTTGCTTTGACGGCGCCGACATATAATGGATTGTCCGGAGGACGCACGGGAGACGTGGGAGCAAAGACGTTGCACACCGAATTCATTTCGACTGTGTCGCCCGCTTGCGTTCCGGTCCCGTGCATCTCAATGTAGTCAACATCGAACGGTCGAAGACCAGCATCTCGTAACGCAGTCCGGTAGAGACTTTCTTGCGTCGGAGCATGCGGACGGGTGATCGAATCCGCATTCGCCGAGTAATTTGTTGCGAACGACAAGATCACACCAAGCACATTATCGTTGTCGGCCTGCGCCGCCTCCAATGGCTTGAGAACCACTGAGGCTACGGCTTCCCCGCGGCAATAGCCATCGGCGTCCTTGTCCCAGGTCTTGCACCCTCCGGTCGGGGAGATGAAGTGGCCAGCGCTCAATCCCACGTAGTTGTCGGAGCTGCTGATGATGTTCATTCCACCGACGACGGCGGTATCGCACTCTCCACTCCAGATCGCATTGCAAGCCATGTGCAGCGCAACCGAACTGGTTGAGCAAGCCGTGTCGAGGCTGACAGCCGGCCCGCCGAATTTGAAAAAGTGGTTGATACGGCCCTGTGGTGTTTGGTTCGTATGAGCCATGAGGAACAAAAAGAATTGAGAAGCTTGAACATACTGTAGCAAATGCGCGCATAGTCCCCGGAATAAAATAGGTGCCCACCTCTTGAGCCAGATTCTGCTCCTTGTACTCGTCAGCGACTTGGCCGTTGAACGTGCCAACGCGGTCCAGCTGAGTCGAGGGGGTCCGGTTCGGGACAAAACCGGCCATTTCCAGGGCCTCATAGGCTGTGACGAGTGCCAGCCGCTGCCCCGGGTCAGTTTGAAGAGCCTCCCGCGGAGACATGTTAAAGAAGCGAGCATCAAACATCCCCGGTCGATCGAGGAAGCATCCGTATGCGGGCTGGGACAGGTGTGTACGAGGGTCGAAGCGGTCCACAGGAATCTACGTTTGGTTAGCAACCGCGAGCTTTCTAGTGCGATCGATTCGAATCACCTCGGTGTGGCAGTCCAGTCCAGCTTTCAGCACTTCCCACAGAGCATCTGGGTCATCAGCCTTCGGAAAGCGGCCCGCCATGCCGACGATAGCAATGGGGAAATGACGTGCGCGCGGAGTCTGGGTCGTTTGCAGGCCGAAAGCATCATCGAAGGTGAGTTGAATATCGGTGATTGCCCTCAGAGAAGATGTAAGGCTCTTCGCCAGGCTCGACTGGGCGAATGGTCGAACCATCCAGGCCGAGACCTTGGACTCTTCGGTGGCCAGCTTGCATGCAGTGACGACTTCCTCCCATCGGATCGGCTGGGCAAGAATGTTATACATGACATCCTCCAACAGTTCTCGCCGACTCGTCGCAGTGTAGTATTTCCCCGTAGCAGCCCCGATAAAGGTCCTCGACTGTCCCTGCCAGACTCCGTCATTGAAACTGTCGCCTGACGGCACGGGGCCATCCACGAGACGACGGACATCTTCCCGCGAAAAATACCGAAAAGCATGGTAGGGCGCGTAAATGCGAATGTCGCGAGAAGTGCCTAGAGAAGCGCCATTGCCGGTCTCCCTTAGATAATTGAGCAGCCTCCTGAGACTGGACGGAGGGCCCCCAATCGTGATGGTTTTGCGACTGAAGGCCGTGATGTAGGGTCGACGATGTTCTGGGATTCCCTGAGTAAAAGTCAGTAAGCCGTCGCGATGGAATCGACCCGCTACACCTACCAGCTGCTCCCCGAGAGCGTCCAGCTTCCCCTCGTCGGCCAGTCCGCAGTCGCGGGAAACGGTCGTGGACCAGCATTGGGCCGGCTGCGTCCGTCGTTCCAAGCCATTGCCCACCACGCTGGCGGCAATGCCTGCTCGGAAGGCGAGGCGAACGGAGTCGACGGCGAGAGGAATGAGCTCAACCAGGCTCTTTGCCAGACTGACAGCCGCTGCCGAAAGCTCCCCAAAACAGACGCCAACGACGACGTTCTCCGTCGCGTTGGGATACGGCTCATCGGCGCGTTCGTAGCGGCTGTTGGATTCCGGAGTCAGCGTGGTGGACGAGTCGATTTGCGGCCAGCGACTTACGCAATGAAGTGCCCCAGCTGCACCAGCACAATCTCTGTCGGATGCAGTGCGGGATGGCGGGTGCTTTCGTCAAAGTTGTCCTGCACCAAGTCATACAGGTTGTGGAAGTCGGGTAATCCATTCCGGTCGACGGGAGGCACGCGGGCGACCTCTTCCTGAAGAGCACACTTGACGCGATCCAGGAAGCGAGAGAGCAAGGAGCCCGCGGTCTGCGCGTGCAGGATGCGGCGCAGACCCGTATGCGTCTCCTGCGAGCCGTCTGCGAAGAAGATGATGGACCTGGACGCCGCCATGATCAGCCACAGTGACCACACCACGACATGGTCCCGGCAGAATGGGTTGAAGACGCACCACGGGGAGCTCCATGAACACAGGGCTGCATGACATGGACCTGGACAGCAGGCGTCGGCGATCTATTTCTCGGCCTGCATCAGCGCCATCTCAGATGGTCTCCGAGGGTTCGGTAACTTTGTCGATCCGTTGATCGCCGCGATGCGGAGACGGCGAACAAGAAAGAAGGAGATGCCATGTCGCCCATGGCTGCTCCTGCCGTGCAAGTCTTCTGTCTGAGACATGCGGAAGGCACGGGCGAGGGCTGAGCAGCCAGCCATGGAAAGCACGACGGAGCCGATTGCGATCGTGGGCATGGGTAAGTGCAGGTGGTCCTCCGCGCCTTCCCGATCGGGATGTCTGACAGCACGCAGCGTGCCGCCTGCCGGGGGCAGTCACGAGCCCGGCATCGCTGTGGCAGTTACTGCGCGACGGCAGGTGCGCCCAGGGCCACGCCCCTCCTTCCCGATTCAGCACCCAAGGCTGGACACGCAGCGACAACCACGCGCGCGCTGGCTACTTCCTCAACGACGACATCCGCGCCTTCGACCATGACTTCTTCGGCATCCTGGCCGCTGAGGCTGCCTACATGGACCCCCAGCAGCGCCTGCTGCTGGAGGTCGTGTACGAGTGCTTCGAGAGCGCTGGTGTCCGCCTCGATCAGGTGTCGGGCTCCGACACGGGATGCTATGTTGGCAACTTCACCTACGACTACCCCGTGATGCAGAGCAAGGATGCTGAGTTTCTGCATCGCTACAGTGCCACGGGCATGGGTGCCACCATCTTAAGCAACCGCATCAGCCACACCTTCAACATGACGGGGCCAAGGTGGGAGAGCACCCCTGTTGCTGCGCCGATCGCGCCTCGCTGATGGCAGAAACAGCCTTGTCATCGACACGGCATGCTCCTCCTCCCTGTACTGTCTTCATGCCGCGTGCACGGCGCTGGAAAATGGAGACTGTGGTGCGGCTGTCGTTGCCAGTGCCAATCTCATCCAGTCGGTGGAGCAGTATCTGGGCATGGAGAAAGCCGGTGTGCTGTCGCCCACCGGCACGTGTCGGACCTTTTCTGATCTCGCAGATGGCTATGCGCGCGCCGATGCCGTGTGCGCCATGTATCTCAAAAGAGTGAGCGATGCGGTCCGCGATAAGGATCCAATTCGTGCCGTCATTCGGGGATGCGCTGTAGGCTCGTAAGTATCCGTTCAAGGTGGGCCAAAGCCATCCTGTTGGCTAACAAGAGAATTCTAGCAATGGCAAGACGAATGGAATCTCTGCTCCGGACGCCGCAGCTCAAGAGCGGGTGATTCGTCAAGCCTATCGCAAGGCTGGTCTCGATCCTGGGGCAACTTCGTATGTGGAATGCCATGGCACGGGCACGCCCGCTGGGGATCCAATTGAGGTCGAAGCCTTGTCCAGAGTCTTCCAGCGAGACAACAAATGCCCGTTACTCATTGGAGGGGTAAGTGAAAGACACTCTTCATGCCCCCGTCCTCATGCGCCAGTAGTGTGGGATTCAGAACATGAGAGGGAAGTCCGCTGATCTTTGTACCTCTTTCGTTCAGGTGAAACCAAATATCGGCCATGGAGAGGCCGCAAGTGGTCTTTCGGGAGTCATCAAAACAGTCCTGGCTCTAGAAGCACGCCAAATTCCCCCGACAATTAACGTTGAGCGGATTAATCCTCGAATTAAAACGGCCGATTGGGGCGTCGAGATTGTCCGCGAACTGCGAGACTGGCTTCCACCTGGATCATCTGAGACGTGTTCGAATGGCGTGCTTCGGGCTGGCGTCAACTCGTTTGGCTATGGCGGAGCAAACGCCCATGTTATTCTCGAGTCGGCCAGTCCGTGGGTATCCTCGTTGTCGAGTCAAAATGAACTCATCTCTCCGCAGGGCAGCGATACCACCCCGCCCAGAAATGTGTTCCTTCTTCCATTCTCCGCCACGAACATGCAGTCCTTGAAAGCACGAGTGTCAGAGCTGGCCTCCATGGACATTCGTGCCCTCGAACTGGACAGCCTTGCCTACACTCTGTCATGCCGTCGCACCCACTTCCGTATCCGCGGTTATATTACCGCGCGAAAGAATACGTTGCTCGAGGACCTAAAAGTCGAGTCGCTCCGGACTCTTCCTTCTTCGAGCACTCAAACCTCTCCGTCATCCTTGGCCTTCGTCTTTACGGGCCAAGGGGCCCAATGGGCCGGAATGGGTAAAGAGCTGTTTGAAGAGTTCCCAACTTTCCGTCAATCCATTCGATATATGGATGCTGTTCTGCGGCAGCTTCCACATGCTCCCTCATGGGCCCTAGAAGGTGGGTCCTTTATTCATATCGGAGTGCTCCCAAATGTCATATTAGGGCAAATCGTGAGTCACCCAGGACGCTGACACTAGTGCTCAGAGGTTATATTGGACACTTCACCTTCCAGCCCCATCAACGTCGCCAGTTATGCACAGCCAATGACGACAGCCCTTCAGGTTGCAATCGTCGAGCTTCTGACATCATGGGACGTTCATCCGACCGTTGTCGTTGGGCATTCCTCAGGTACTGCCTTATCTGTGGGTTCGTTAGGATTCCAACTAATTCCGTGTAGGGGAGATTGCTGCTGCGTTTGCCGCGGGACATATTACGGCTGAGGAGGCCATTGTTGCGGCGTACTATCGCGGCTATGTGAATGGTTTGAATGGACGAGATGGTGCCATGCTTGCTGTCGGCCTCGGTGCCGACGAGGTTGTTGCGGAGGTGCACAAATTAGGGCTCGAGGGCCAAGTACAAGCAGGGTGCCACAATTCCCCGGAAAACGCTACAATGACGGGGGATGCAGACGCCATCGCTGTCCTGTCGGAAAGATTGCAAGATCGCGGAGTCTTTGTTCGCAAGCTTAGAACTGGTGGAAAGGCGTATCATTCCCACCACATGGCTTCGCTCGGCCCCAAGCTGGAAGAGCTTCTCCAGGCCGTGCCATATTCGACATCGAAGCAGAAAGAATCAAAACACAAAGTCGAATTTATCTCTACGGTAACGGCAGGCGTCAAGGAAGATGGCTTTGATGCCGCGTACTGGCGAACAAACATGGAGTCGCCAGTCTTGTTTTCCCAGGCAATGCAATATATTCTTCGACAACGGAAGGTTCATCTCGTGGAGATTGGTCCTCACTCGGCTCTGGAGTTGCCCCTGAGGCAGATCTGTTCAGCGCTTGGATTGACAAAAGACCAGATACCCTATTCCACTGCAATGAGCCGTGGAAAGGACGGGGCGACCTGTATTCTGGATCTCATGGGACGCCTTTATCTCCATTCCCAACCGGTATCATTTGACAAAGTCAATTCGCTTGCAGAGAGTTCCCACGTTCGTGTGATCCCGGACCTGCCCCCGTACCCATGGCAGCACGATAAAATTCTATGGAAGGAGCCTCGTGCAAGCTCCGAACTTCGTCTCCGCAGACATCCACATCATGAACTCCTTGGCTCACTCATCCCGGGTGGCGATGGTCGCAATCTGCAGTGGAGGAACAAGCTACAGTTAGAGAATGTGCCGTGGTTAGAAGGGCACAAGCTCGAGAAAACCGTCATATTTCCGGCCGCTGGATACGTCGCCATGGCTGTGGAAGCCGTCACTAAAGCAACTGAGGATCTCATCTGCGGCGAGAAGACTGAAGTAATTCTGCGGAATGTCAAGATCCATTCAGCACTGATGCTGGCTGTGGATGAAATTGAATTGTTCACCATGCTGCGCCCAAGGTCAGCGTCGTCAGGCTGCGGCCTAAGCTCATGGTGGGAGTTTGAGATACTGTCTAACCAGGATGGTGCCTCCGTGCTGCATAGCACGGGGTCCATCAGTGTTCAACTTCAGATCGAGGAGCCCCTGAATCGTCAAATACCCACTGCGGCCCTTAAACCACTCCCTATTCGCGCATGTTATCGCCGACTGGCCCAACTCGGCCTGAACTTCGGTCCAGACTTCCAGTCCCTGGAACGTCTGTGGACCGCAACGAGCGGCTACGCTCGGTCAGAGGTCTCCCATCCTCAGCAGCAGGCCGTCCAGAAGCCATTTAGTATAGTCCACCCAATAGTCATCGATGCGTTATTGCAGACCGGCATCGTCGCACATGCAAGGGGCTCGGTAGCACAATTGGAGGGAATGGTACCAGTATTTATCGAGTCTGCAGCATTTAAAGCCATTCCTACTTCAGAGAGAGTGCAAATCAAGACAATCGATGCCCGTGCGAATTACGCGGGCACAAAGACGACCAGTCTCGACGCACAATTGCTGGACTCCAATGGCCGGGTCTACGCGCGGCTGACTGGCGCGAGAATGACTCCATATACACCAGCGTTCTCTTCAGAACCAGCCATCCAGCGCCAACCGATAGCCAGGGTTGTCTGGAAGCCTTGTATTCTGAATTTTGGCCCGAATCGTAATATTTCAAAGCAGTCAAATCTTATCTGGACTCGCGGGTCTACAGCAATCGATTCGCATCCCAAGAATGGATCCGACTGGACACCCATTCTGTCAATAGTGGGCTTTATGCACCCGCGATTGAGGATATTAGAATTGTTGGATAGTGCTGAAGCCGTTCATGAAATGTGGCAGGCAAGAGCAAAAGCCATTGATATCCCGCCCAATTACTCCGTGGGTTATATGTCACCGGACGGGCAGGTTTATGCAGCCAGGTTGGGCCACGCATCTACCTCGGATCTTGATCTGGAGCCAGTCATTCCTCACAAAGGGCAAGTTTACGATGTCATCCTATCGTCCAAGGTACTCTAGCTTCCGTTTCGTTTCTTGTTGATACAGAGCGTGCTAACAGCCAACAAAGACCGTCTCCGACAGAGGAATGAGCTCGGTGTCCGATCTGGTTGCGTCGAGCGGTTTTATAGTGGCTTCTACATCCGACCTGGAGAAGGCGTTTGCCGCCATCTGCCAGCGGCTGACAATATCCCCACAGGCCAGCAAAAATGGTATCCGAAAAGGCATCCAGAGTGCGAGAATTGTCATTGTAATGTCCCCCAATCCACGGCCATCATCAGCGATATAACTAACGTACGTGACACAGGTCGAAGCTGATGATGCAGGTCCCAAGAGCGAGTGCCTCCGATTTCTCTTCGGCAATTTTCTTGGACAAGAAACTGTTGTATGCCGGCTTAGCGAAGTAAATGACTCGATCATCCCATCAGATGCCATCGTCGTCAGTCTTATTGAAGCTGAGAGCCCCCTTTTCGCTTCGATAAACCAGACCGCGATGACCAAGTTGAAAATAATAACGGACCGTGCATCCAGGATACTTTGGGTCACAAGTGGTGGGCTCTTACGGTGCCCTAACCCTGACTTTGCACTTGCTTCGGGGTTAGCAAGGACATTAATGCTGGAGCAGCCGTCCCTTTCATTTTTTACGTTTGATGTGGCAAGAGAAGAATTGTGCCTGCCACAGACGGCTAGAAATATGGTTTCGGTCCTCACGCAGGACCTCGAATCCTTCCCTGAGTACGAATTCGTGCAGGATAATGGCGTCCTTCACGCGAGCCGGTTCGTCCCAGACGATCGGGCAAATGAAACCTTCCGCCAGAAGCTTAGTGGAGAAACGATTTCTATGAGTTTGAAAGAAGCAAGCCCTGGTCGCCTTACACTGTCGACATCAACGACCACATTTTTCTTGAGACGAGAGTTTGTTGATTCCATTCCCCTCGGCTCTGTCGAGGTGGAAACAAAAACAGTCGGACTGAATTCCGGGTGTTCTTTCTCTATCAATGAAGCTTCTGGCAACGGAGAAGGCTTGCGCATTCTCGAGTTCTGCGGAATTGTGACACGGGTGGCACAGGACGTCACCACGATCTCTCCAGGAGACCCTGTTGTGGCCATGGCCCCTTGCAACTTGGAAACACACCAGGTTGTGCCTGCTTGGGCCTGTATGAAGCTTAAGCCTGATGACAAGCCTGATGTTGTCTGCACACTGCCGTACACTTACTCCACGGTTTTATACGCACTCAAAACCAGAGCTCAGATTGCGCCAGGGGAGAGGATCCTCATCCACCGCGGAGCGAGTCCTGTAGGCATGGCTGCGATTCGGATTGCTCAACTTGCCGGGGCGCATATTTTCGCAACTGTCGGTAGCGAATCCGAGAAAGATCTGCTCGTAAGCAGATATCAGCTCGATGCGTCCCATATATACAGCTATCATGATAACTCCTTCGCCACGGCCATTATGGCTGCTACGGAGGGGCTTGGTGTAGATGTTGTCTTGAATCTGCTCCCTGGCCCCATGCTGCACGATACCTGGCGAACTTGTGCCTCCTTTGGCCGTTTTATCGAACTCGGGAACCGGGATCTGATGGCGGTTGAGAAGCTCGACATGGACGTTTTCAAACGCAACGTGACCTTTTCAGCAGTGAATCTGATTGACGTTTTCCATGACTCTCGCCCTCAGAGTCGGGCAACGTGGTCCACGTGAGTCTCAGATTCTCTTCTGGTCCTTTCTCAAGGGCGATCTTGTCTGACATTCGTATCCGCACAGACTCCTTAGGGAAGTAATGGACCTATATTGGGAAGGCACAATCTATCCCCATGACCAAGTCAGCACATATAATATTTCCGAGGTAGCGAAAGCTTTACAGGCGTCATCGTCCGACAACTCTGGCTATGTAGCTGTATCACTGCAGGATCCTGACTCAATTGTTAACGTAAGTTGCGAGAAGGAAAAAACGCAACACTAGCGGAACCTAACCCTAACCCTAACCCCTCAGGTGCGGCCTCCAACATATAACACCACCCTTGACAGTTCAAAGACCTACGTCGTGATAGGCGGTTTGGGCGGAATTGGCGGTAGTCTGACGAAATGGATGTTCTCACGGGGGGCACGGCGGTTTGTGCTCGTCGGGAGGTCCAACCCAAGCCATAGCAAGACCGGGGCAGTTGTTACGCAACTGAAGTCTTTGGGCGCTTCTGTGAAAGTTGTACAGGGTGATGTAACACGCTTTGAAGACGTCAGGCGGGTCATCTCCGGGGTTGATGGTACGATTGGCGGTGTCGTCCATGCGGCCATGGGACTCAGCGTTCGTCTCCCTTCCTTCACCTGTTCCGGCTAATTCTGACGACGATGTAGGAAGCTCTGTTCTCCCAAATGTCCGCAGAGTCGTGGCACTCTGGCATTGATGCCAAAGTGCGCGGCTGCTGGAATCTTCACCACGCTCTGCTGGAAAAGGAGGACGAAGGCTTGGATTTCTTTTTGCTTGTCAGCTCGATCTCCGGAAGCGTAGGAGCGATTGCCCAGAGTAATTACTGTGCCGCAAACCATTTTCTCGACATCTTCGCTCGCTATCGGCGGTCCCTCGGGCTCCCTGCCGTCTCGGTCGGACTGGGGATGATAACCGATGTCGGGTATCTGAGCGAGAACCCGGACGTGGAAGCAAAGCTGGCCCGGAGCGGAATCTCGTCTCTGGACGAGAAGGAGATGCTTCTGGTCATCGATGAAGCTCTCACTTCGGCCAGAAGCGACTCAGACCAGTTCGACACCTTCTCATCCGCACATCTTTTAACGGGACTTGAGCACGCTGGCAATCCAACTTTTAAGGCCAGTGGATACGAGGGCTCATCACCCTTCGCACGAGACCCACGGGCCCGTATCCTCACTGCCCACTCATCTGCGGCCGAGACCACGTCCGCTCATGGGAAAGATGAGGCACTGTCGTCTGACATTGCCAAGGCCGTGAGATCTGGTTCGTCCCTGGACGCAGCAGTAACCTCGCGCGTCAAGCGTGAGCTCGCCCAGATTCTTGCCATGGACACGGATAGGGTCGAGATTGCAAAATCACTCCCTGAATATGGAATTGACAGCATGATCGCGACCGAGATTCGCACGTGGTTGTTCAGGTCGTTCCAGTTGGATGTGTCTCTCTTCCAGATCCTTTCGAAGACGACCACGATTGAGATGCTGATATCGATGATTGTTACTGAGATTGGCAAGCGATTGAATTAGGATGTAAGATATATTGGAACATGTATATATTGCTTGTTTTTGCTTGTTTTGGTGCCTGAGCTGCTATATTTTGAATATATACATACATATATCGGTATACAAAATGGAATATTCTTCAATCTGAGATCATCAACTTGCTGCCTGCTAGTTCTGGGGTGGCCCAATTAAGAGACAGCAATGACATGGACATCAGGGAATCGTGAACGGACAAACTCATGGCTTCGTGGTTGAACGTGAAAATACATAGACGTGATGCAAACAATCCAATTGCGGAGAGGGGTATATTTGGCAGATCAAGCGAAAAAGAAAAAGAATGGGGGAAGGAAGGCGAAGGACCAAAGACCATTGACGCCAATCACCGGAATAAACCGAAGCAAATCACCTCGTTACCTCCGTCGCTTCGTTGAATCCAGTTGAAGGACAACTGGCGGGCCGTGACTGTCACATCTCTCCGCTCAGCCAAGGCTCCGCGAAATACCGAAATGGTCGTGATGGACATGTACACATGAAGCCGGACAAGAAACCGATTATATACAATGAGGGACTCCCTACTCCGGCACAAGGAACGAACAAACATAGGCACGCCTCTTATTTCTTGAGGGGCTTCGCACTCGACATGCTAGAGATCTCGATATCCCCCGGCCTGTACAT